TTTCTGTCTCGTGTTCAATACTTAATAGGCACGGTGTTTTAGTCTCTCTCATGGTTAACAGAAGGATACATTTGGTATAGTTTCTGTCTCGTGTTCAATACTTAATAGGCACGGTGTTTTAGTCTCTTTTATGTTTAACAGACATGAGACTTTTGGTTTAGTTTCTGTCTCGTGTTCAATACTTAATAGGCACGGTTTTTTAGTCTCTGTCATGGTTAACAGAAGGATACATTTGGTTTAGTTTCTGTCTCGTGTTCAATACTTAAACGACTCGGCAATTTTCGGAATAGATCGTTCTACAATTGTAAAGCGCCTTACCTACCTATTATGAAATAGAAATATTTGGTTAAAATCCAGAATCGTAAAGATGATTGGCTGATGGAGCTCATGCGCAGAGTCCAGAAAAAGCGAGATGTGTATACTATTAGTGGTAGACATACGGTAAGCTAACTACTATAGATATTAAGATTACCCTTTCAGAAGAACACGTGAGTTTTATAGTACCTCAGTATATATATATAGATACTATAGGATAGGTTTCTAATAGTTTATAAAATAGTAGTTTAGACTTGAAGACTGAAGGATAGGTCATCGCAGGTGATGTTCCTAATTTAAAGCATGTCTACAGGCAGTGTGAGCAGTCAAATGGTATAGATTTCTCTTTTATCAGTTTCGTGGTTTCTAGACCTTTCGTAATTGTTCACTCTCTCGTAAGTACCGCACTAGCTACATATGTTGAGACGTCAGGTAAAGTTAAACCTTAAAATATGACTTCATTATTGTTTGTCGTCCTTAACAGGAAAAAAACTTGTATTTAAGAAGCATTCTTGTGAGTCATTGGTTGTGTAAACCTCACAAACCCTATAACAGAACTAAACCGCACTGACATGAGAGTTCAACATTATGATTTTTACTACAATACAAATGTGTGCAAAGGAAATGAAAAGGCGGCGAAATAATTTTGTTTTTAATTAAAATAGATGAATTTCTGGTACTTATTATTATTTATAATGAAGGTACAGAAGTGTGCTTGTTGTTTCTGATATTAATATCAGATTGCGTGGTTGGAGATGTTGTTTTACTTCGGTCTCAAGGTCCAATGATGACGGTCAACATTATAAAACTGAGATTTTAGCATAATTGTTTGTATAAAATCTATGAATACGTGACCCTTCTAAAAAAAATTGGAAAAAAATTAGGGGCGTGGTATCGCCCTGTGTTAAAGCTTTGAATTTCGATGCTTGCGAGTAGGGTTCGAGTCTGTGCGATAACACAAAATATTCCAGTATTTTTAAGTCTAGGCGCGTTATAATAGAGACAGTTAATTCCCTAGCATGGATGGTAGGGTGCTGTTCACTGGCTGCCTTTCCTCTGGTCAGTAGCTCAGAATTAGGGTTAGCGGCAGATAGTTTTATTAATTTTTTCATAAATAATTACGTTAAATATTGTAAATTATATATATCTGTTACAATATTTGTTTGTTTATTGAGAAGAACAAAGATACATAATGGGCTATCTGTGCTCTGCCTACAGCAGGTATCGAATCCTGATTTTTAGCGTTATAATTCCGTAGACTTACCGCTGAGCCACCGTTGCAAAGGATACTTGTTTGTACATTACGTATTAGTCTGGGTTTAACTTGTATCGTTAAACATGTCTGTATCGTATTAGTAGTTACTTGTTTGTACATTACGTGTTACTCCAGTTTTAACTTGTATGGTTATATATGTCTCTATCATATCAGTAGTTACTTGTTTGTACATTACGTATTAGTCTAGGTTTAACTTGTATCGTTAAACATGTCTGTACCATATCAGTAGTTACTTGTTTGTACATTACGTGTTACTCCAGTTTTAACTTGTATGGTTATATATGTCTCTATCATATCAGTAGTTACTTGTCTGTACATTACGTATTAGTCGGGGTTTAACTTGTATCGTTAAACATGTTTCTACCATATCAGTAGTTACTTGTTTGTACATTATGTGTTGTTCCAGATTTAACTTGTATGGTTATATATGTTTCTACCATATCAGTAGTTACTTGTTTGTACATTACGTGTTA